ATTGTTGAGTTTTATTTTTTTTGAAGCAGTTCCTACCATTTTTAAAATCAAATTTTATATAGTATATATTTAACCAGTTCAATTTAATAAAAAATTAATGAGTTTAGCAAAATTTGATTGATTTTACATTTAATATAAATTTATAAATAAATTAATATAATTTTATAAATTAAAAATATAAAATAATAAATTTAAAAAATAAACTCACACATTAATTAAATTTACATTTAATTTGAATTTAAATTTATAAATAAGTTAATATAATTTTATAAATTTAAAAATAAAATGAGAAATTTGAAGAGTTAATTCATGAGTGTGATGTGCCAATGTTAGTCAATGTTTTTTTAAAAAATCTCATAAGAATATTTTTTTATAAAGATACGAATTTTGAAAAAGTGAAAGACATGCTGGCAAGGAATTGAGAAGGCGGCTATAACGGCGATTGACGATGAAATCGAGAGTTACGGGCTACTGTTTATAAGTAGGGGCCCAATTATGACGTCACCTCTTTTTACTTCTCCCAATATTGGTGGTCATTCCATTCCGCCAATCACTCTATTATTATATTATTATTTATTTTCCCTTTGTTTATTTTTCTTAATTTAGTTCTATTTTATGTTCCAAATTGTTAAAATGAGTATTTCCTACTTTTTAGTTGAGCATGTATCATTAGAATCAATGACATTAGTTGACCTACGCGTTGAGTAAATATTTGAATCGATTTGAGTAACTCACTAAAATTTTTAAATATTTTTTATTAAAAATATTTTTATTTAAAATACTGTTAAATATTAAATACAGACACTTCTTTTACTAAATAATTTTAATTTTATTTTATTATATTATGAAAAATTAGTTTCTTTCATTAAACACAACTTTTATTTTTTATCATAATAGATAGACTATCACATATTATTTTATTTTTATAAGCAAAACCTAAAATTTAAGAAATATTTATTACATTTTTTAAAAAATTTACCTTTACTAGATATAATTATTATAAGAGAATACTTGTTTAAAAAATTTAAATATAATTATTATTTTTAATTAATTTTTTAAATAATGTTTTTGAAATTTTTTTATATTAAGATGTGCTTATTTCAATTAAAAATATTTTATATTTTAAATGGAGAAGTACAAAGTTTCAGATGCTTTTTTTATTTTAATAATTCAATTTTTTTTAAAATTCCAAATCTTTTATTTATTTATTTATTTATTTTGACCAGCCAAATTCTTTATTTATTAATCATATGTTAAAAACAAAATGAAAAAGTGCATACTCCACATTTTTTTAGGATTATATTTTTAATCTTTTAAAATATAACTATAATTTTTTTAAAATATTTTTATTAAATAAATTTATTTATATTTATTTAAGATAAAATACTTTATTAAATAGGATTAATTTGAAAAGATATAATTAATTAAAGATAAATAACTATTATGTTAAAAATAAAATTTAATTAAAAATATCTTACTCCCTCCATTTGAAAATGTAAGTATTTTTTAAGAAGTTGAATATTTAAAAATATAAAATATTTTTAATTTTTTAAAATGTAATTATTATCTTTCTTTTAAAAGTGTACCTATTAATAAATAAATTTATATTTATTATAGAGTATTTAATAAAAATAAATATAAAAAAATTAATTTAAAAATAAATAAATATTTTATTAAGGGATGAATTTTATTAAAAATATTTTATTTTTAAACTTAAAAATATATATTTTTAACATTATTTAATTGTTATTCAAAATTTAATATTTTAGTGATGATGTAAACTGACAGGATATGACGTTTCCACTGTCATTTTCATGAATCCCAACTACCCTTTGTTTGGACAAAAATTAGCAATCTCTTTCCCTTCGCCTTCACAATCCTTTTTTTTTTAATTAAAAAAAAATCTAACCAAACAAGAATTTCAATCTTATCATTATTTTCTAGTAATTAAATTCAATCATTTAATACTCTCTAAAATAAAAGTAAAAGGTTACCGTGAAATGCTCTTCAAGGAAATTCAAGGACAATTTTTTATTTCATTTTATAAATAAATTATATATCGAATGGTCCTCTGCCTTCACCAATTTTAAATTAATCAGCCAGTTTAGTGAATATTTTTAATACCTATTTGTGTGTGTGTGTGTTTTTACTGGACATAAAAACAGAATATAATTAAATTTCATATTAAATAAAGCTCAAAAGAAGGGAGAATATAAATGCCACAATCTTAACATCATATGAATGTGCTTTGCATGATTTAAGTTACGGAAATAATTTATGTATTTATGTTAAAATAATGTGTCTTAAAGTACAAGTGTGGTTTTTATATTTACTACTCCTTTCATTAAAAAATATAAGGCATTTTTAATCGTATTTTACCTTTCAATAAAATAGGTACCTATTTTCAAACTAACTCTATATTTTCATACTTATCCTTATTAATATACTACAATAAATATAAAGTCATTATCAATAGGAGCACTTTTAAAAAAAAACAATGATTACACATCAAAAGATTAAAAATACCCTATATTATTAAATATCTAACTCCTTAAAAAATATCTTATATTTTTAAACGAGAGAGTGTGTATTTTCATTTTCATACTCGAGTATACTATCTTTTAATTTTGTCCACTGAAATAATTACCTGCACTGCACTTTATTCTTTTAAAATATATAATGTAAGCTATAAATAAGCTGTCTGTAACAAAGACTACTAATTAATTAACACGCAATGTACATAAATCGTATCTTTTTATATAGACAACACGTTATCTTTAAAATCTTTTAATAATAAATTCTTAGTTTAATTTGATATTGATTATATTTGTGTGCAAGATTAAAACTTGCCATTAAAATCCTCATATCCTCTTGATATATTTGTAATAATGTGGTTTTGGATAATAAAGATTTCGTATTTAATATGGCCAAGGAATTTGAATGCTCATACACGAGTAGTTTTTGTTCTGTTCACACTATAATTATTTAAAATTCATGCATTTTAATTTAATTTAGACTGAGAGACAATAAATAGAAATTATTGGGAAATATTCATAATGTTCATAACAGATTAATCCATATAAAGAGATAAAAGAAGATTTGACCATGAAATAAAATTAGAAGTTCCAAAAGAAGCATGTACTAAATCGTTTTTTCTTTGTTTTTTTTAATTAATTGTATGCTCTTTTTCTTGGTCAAATGATTTTAGATTAGAATCACAAATCACAAATGAGTGAAAACGGGGAAAATACCGAATTTCAATCTGATCTCAGGAAAAAGAAAGCTGAATCTTTGAATTATAGAAACAAATGATTCAGACATATTTCTATTTTTAGTATTCCTAACGATTAGATTTTGTATCGCTGAATAATTTCGGGTACTTTTCTCAATTTATCTTGTGTTTTTTTCCAGCTTATTTTGATTGATAATATTTTCGTCTTACCATATTTGAGACCAAACAAATTTAATGTTGGTATTCTTCATTATCAAATTGAATATTTAAATATCTAAATATGGTTCCAACTTCAATCAAACGTGTTAAATTACGAAAGTGAATTCATCCAAACTTAGTTTTTTGTTAAAAAAAAAATGCAACCTCTTGATTGTTTAAATTTGCAGTCCTTTTTCTTCCCAAAGCTTCTAATGGAAGTCTGATACAAACAAAATTTACGTCGTTATTGTAGAGCATTTTATTACTTAACAATCTAAGTAATATCAATAGGTGTAGAATTTTTCAATAAATCATTTTATTTTAGATAAAACGGAAGAAAAACTCAAACAGTAAACACTTCACTCCTTCAAAAAAAAAAAAATCTTTGCAAGGAGTTTATTAACGTGTCATTAGGTTATTATTTAATAGTTAATAAAAAATTTTGGACAAAAATGTTTAATTAAAAATTAACTGGAATGATTCCCGAGCAAGTTTCAATAAAATAATTTTTTTATAATTTAAAATTTTTATAATGCATTATACACTTTATATTTTTAAAATTTTCAACAAAATAAACTTTGTAATACAAAATTTAACTTATTGTGATAACATGTCAAATTTTAATTGGTTGATGGAGTCGTAGGGAAGGGTCGATAGCAGAGGATCCAGGACTGTTGAGAGAGGGAAGGCAACGTTTGACTTTTGCGTCCACTTTGTAGTGTGTGTACGAACCAAGAATGGGGAAAGAAGAAGAGAGAGAAAGTCGTAGCTGAGGAAACATAAATAAGTTAAGAGAGAGGTGGAAAGAGAGTTAGCTGGAGGGGCAAATCCGTCATTTCGCCGCCACCCGCCGCCGAGAAATGGCTCCCCGGCCACCGGGAATGGGCGGCGGCTGACAAATCACCCGCCGACCTCATTTATAGCTTAATGGGGTTACCCACCTGGTTGTGCTTGTACCCCTCACTCGTCCCCATTGGTTATAGAGAGAGAGAGAGAGAGAGAGAGAATAGAGAGACTTTAAGGCCCTTCCTTTCTTGCTCGGAAGAAACGCTTTAAAAACCCTTCATCAGTTACACTAATGACTTGTGAGAGACCCTCTGTGAAAGTGAAGTGGTGGGTTGTGGAACAGATTGATACTATACACACTCGCGCGCTCACACACAGCTAGCTGGTTCTTTGTTTGCTTGTTTGTTTGTTTGTTTTTTTTTTTTTTGGGTTTGGTTTCTTAAATCAGGCCATAACTCTTTCGCCTCTCAAATCTCAAATCATGCCGATATCTTTGATCAATCATTCAGCCGTTTCTGATATCGCTTGAGAATCTTCGCGTAAATGGGTATGTTTGGTCATTGGAATTAGAAACGTTATGCTCTCTTCTCTTCCGTACCCACAAAAATTACTCCCTCTTCTAAAAACCTCCTTTCTTCCATGCCCACAATTCAAATTTCACTTCTTTTAATCCTCCCATGTCATGGCGCTCGCTGATACACTGCTAACACCATCACTATTCTTTCCGCTGCTGCTCTGAGCGAGAGAGTGAGAGAGAGAGAGAGAGAGAGACAGAGAGAGAGGAATGGAGTACGGGAGTGGAGGCGGTGGTGGGTCCCCTGGGGACCACCACCACCATCACCACCACCTTCACGACGGTTCGGATTCGCAGAGGAACAAGAAGCGATACCATCGTCACACAGCTAACCAGATTCAGAGGCTTGAATCGTAAGTTATTCTTACGAACGGTTATGTTTGGTTGTTTATCTGTCACTCCGATTTTGATGACCTGTTTTGTCTGTGTCTTTTTCCTGTGATGGGAATGAAAAGAATGTTCAAGGAGTGCCCCCACCCTGATGAAAAGCAGAGATTACAGTTAAGCAGAGAACTAGGGCTGGCCCCTAGGCAGATCAAGTTTTGGTTCCAGAACAGGAGGACCCAGATGAAGGTATAGTAATAGTATAGTATTTTCTTCTTCTTCTTCTTCTTCTTCTCTGTTTCTCTATCACTATCACTTCATTGTTTTAAATTGTTGTTTCCTTTTGTTATACAATTCAGGCCCAGCATGAGAGAGCCGATAACTGTGCTCTAAGAGCAGAGAATGACAAGATTCGTTGCGAGAACATAGCTATCAGAGAGGCCCTCAAAAATGTCATTTGCCCTTCTTGTGGAGGACCTCCTCTTCACGAAGAATCTTATTTCGACGAGCAAAAATTGCGTCTGGAAAATGCTCAATTGAAAGAAGAGGTTAAATAATCTTGAACTCCTCAAAACCTATCCTCTTCCTCCTTCTTGTTAAAACCTGTGTTGATTTTGCAGCTCGATAGAGTATCCAGCATTGCGGCTAAATACATTGGAAGGCCGATTTCTCAACTCCCTCCGGTTCAGCCGATTCATATTTCTTCTTTGGACTTGTCAATGGGAAGCTTTGGGGGTCAAACCGTGATGGGTGGTGGTCCTTCTCTTGACCTTGATCTTCTTCCTGGTAGTTCTTCGTCGGTTCCGAGCTTGCCGTATCAGGCGGCTTCTTTTTCTGACATGGACAAGTCCGTCATGTCTGACATTGCCGGGAATGCCTTGGACGAGTTGCTCAGGCTTTTGCAGACGAATGAACCCTTGTGGATGAAGTCAAGCACCGACGGGAGAGATGTTCTCAATCTTGACACCTATGGAAACATGTTCCCCAGATCGAATAGTCACCTTAAGAACCCCAATGTTCGCATTGAAGCGTCTCGAGATTCTGGAGTTGTCATTATGAATAGCTTGGCTTTGGTCGACATGTTTATGGACCCCGTAAGTTCTTCTTCTTCATCTTCTTCTTCTAAAGCTTTCTGGATTGTGAAAAATTTCATGACTCGTGATTAATTCTGCAGAACAAGTGGATGGAGCTATTTCCTACAATAGTTTCAATGGCAACAACGATCAAAGTGATATCTTCTGGAATGCTTGGTGGTCATAGTGGTGCTTTGCAATTGGTATACTGATGAACAAAAACAAGTCTTATTATTATTTAAATTACCATTTGAATTTTCATGAATTGAACTTTGTATAATCTCAGATGTATGGAGAGCTTCATGTGCTTTCTCCACTGGTTCCGACTCGAGAGTTCTATTTCCTGCGTTATTGTCAGCAAATTGAGCAAGGCTTATGGGCGATAGTGGATGTGTCTTATGATTTTCCTCAAGATAATCAGTTTGCTCCTCAGTTTCGGTCTCATAGATTCCCTTCTGGTTGCTTGATCCAGGATATGCCTAATGGGTATTCAAAGGTTGGTCTTATTTTCCTTCTTCTTCATTCGACTCAAAATTATAAGCCTATTTTTATTTTAATTGACTGTCTTGAAACTCCGCAAGCAGGTGACTTGGGTTGAGCATGTTGAGATTGAAGATAAAACGCCAACTCATCGTCTCTACAGAAATCTTATTTACAGTGGATTGGCTTTTGGAGCAGAAAGATGGCTCGCTACACTTCAAAGAATGTGCGAAAGATTCGCTTGTTTAATGGTTACAGGCAATTCAACTCGTGATCTTGGAGGAGGTATGTATATATATATATGTATATACATATATATATAAACACATACCGCATTGCTCTATAATAACGTCTATCGTTGACGATAAAAATTTCAGTGATTCCGTCGCCGGAAGGCAAGAGGAGCATGATGAAACTGGCACAAAGGATGGTAACCAATTTCTGCACGAGCATCAGTTCATCGATCGGCCATAGATGGACGACACTTTCTGGGTTTAACGAGGTCGGGGTCAGAGTCACCGTCCACAAGAGCTCCGATCCCGGCCAACCAAACGGCGTCGTTCTCAGCGCAGCCACCACCATCTGGCTCCCGATCCCTCCCCAGACCGTCTTTAGTTTCTTCAAGGACGAACGAAAAAGACCTCAGGTTTCAATATCTCACATTTACATATATATATATATATATATATGTAATTGATTAACGTTGTACTGTGAGATTCATTTATTGTTTTTTAACTCCTTGTAGTGGGATGTTCTTTCGAATGGGAATGCAGTGCAAGAGGTTGCTCATATAGCCAATGGATCTCACCCTGGAAACTGCATATCTGTTCTTCGAGTAAATATATAAATATTTTCATATTTTTCATGTTTTAAAATTATCAACTGAAGTATGAAGAGATGGGTTGACTTTCGCTAGACCAGACAACCTTAGTTTTGTTGGGTTGACTTTGGTTCTTGACGTTAACATTGATATTTGAATAACGCAGGCCTTCAACACGAGCCAGAACAACATGTTGATACTGCAAGAGAGTTGCGTGGACACATCAGGATCCCTGGTGGTGTACTGCCCGGTGGATCTGCCGGCGATCAACATCGCCATGAGCGGTGAGGATCCGTCGTACATTCCTCTACTGCCGTCGGGCTTTGTGGTGTCGCCAGACGGGCAAGTGGAGCAAGGTGGAGCCGCTGGAGTGGGGGACGGAGCATCGAGCAGCTCGAGCACACCAAGGAGGTCAGGAGGGTCACTGATCACGGTGGCGTTTCAGATTCTGGTGAGCAGCCTGCCATCTGCGAAGCTGAACTTCGAGTCAGTGACGACCGTTAATAACCTCATCGGCACCACTGTGCAGCAAATTAAGGCAGCCTTGAATTGTCCTACTTCCTGATTGATGATGATCATCACACCACGCCCATACCCAAAAACCAAAAAAAAAAAAAAGTTTTAAATTTTTGATGGTGGTGTAGTGAACTGTGTGGAGTGTCCTTAAATATGGTGATCAGAAAAAGCGTTCAGAGATCAGAGACAGATTGGTGTATTGAAGGCAGCTTATAGGGGTTAGTTGAGGAACATGAATGCAAATGAAGAAAGAGCAGAAGATGAAAGCCTCTCATCATTTACTGCTGCTGTGTTTGCTGCCAGCCAAGGAGGTTCTACCTTCATTACATCTCGCACCAGCTTTCTTCTTCTTTCTTGATTTTTGGGTGAAAATGGCTGTTTTTTTTTTTTTGGTGATTTCATTTCTTTTGGGATTTGTTTGGAAGAAGACGATGAAGAAGTAGAGGAAGAGGGAGTCAAGAACGCACCATACTGGGCTGATGACTGTTGTTAGGGGCTTCTTATGTATGGTTCGGGTATTGACTTTCTGTTCATAGACCTTTTGTTTTTTTTTATTTTTTAAATTCGTATGTTTCATTTTTCATAGCCTGACTCTCAACTGTTACCTTTTAGTTGATATGTTTAGGTAGTTTTAGTTGTCATAGATGGAGATTATATGAAAAAAGTTGAATTGAAACTTGGCATTTTCATTCCATTCAATCTTTAATAATTATATATTGTCATCAATTCAAATCAAAATGGATAGGACCACCTTATGGTTTAGTTTAGAAAAACGTTGCTGGAGAATTCAAAAAAAAAAAAAAAGAATTCTCTAACAACGTTTTTCTTACTTTGTAGTAAAATTCAATTCTCGTAAATTTAAATTTTATAAATAAGTAAATATTTTTACTGATTTAATTGAGTAAAATAAAGTAAGTTAAAGTATATTTTTAGTCTTCTAATTTTATATAAAATTTTAATTTAATTTTTTAATTTTGTAAATTATCTTTTTAGTTCTTGAATTTTAACATTGTTATTTTTAAATAAATATTTTTTATATTAATTATTATTATTTAAAAAGAATTAAATTTAATATGTTAACATTTGAGAATATTCTGTAAATATTTAAAAGTTTAATATAAAATTTTGTTAGGATAAAACTAATTTTGTTAGAGTTAAAAAATTAAAAAGATATCTTGAAAAGTTAAGGAGTTGAAGTGAAACATGTAAAAGTAAAGAATTAAATATATTTTTTAGTTAATAAAGTAAAATTATTTGTTACAAATTTCGCTTTTTTTCATTTTAAATTCTTTTTTGTTTCTGGTATAGTTTTATTTTAAATTCTTAAATAGAGTAAAGACAACCCCGATAAGTGGAATCTCAATCTCAACTTCTTTTTCAAGCATAAGTGATAATTGTTGAATGCCAAAGGCAACTTGCCTTGTTAGCAACATTATCTCCTTTCAAGTACGTGATCCACGATTTGAACCTGCATCATTGTGTTCGTAGACTACAAATATTAATTAAATAAATTAATTTTAAAAACATATTCTTTTTGTTTAAAAATATAAGATATTTTTAATTGAATTTTATTTTAATAAAATATTTTTTTACTTTCAAACTAATCTTATCTTTTCATATTTACCCCTATTAAATAATTTACAATAAATATAAAGTCATTATCAATAAGGGCACCTTTTAAAAAAAGTCAATAATTATACCTTAAAAGATTAAAAATATTTTATATTTTTAAACATTCAACTTTTCAAAAAATACTTTATATTTTTAAACGGAGGAGTATACGACATGTCTTGTACTCTTCTTTGAGATTGGTTTCCTTTCAAAATTTTAATTTAAGGAGTAAGTTTGTATATACAGAACTTTATTTACTAATAAAACTAAATATAACTTTTATTTATAATCTCCTAATTCAAGTGCTTAAAGGAAACCACCATGGGTTGAATGTAATCTGAAAATTTTCAGTGAAAGGCATATTTTATTATTAAAAAGACTTATTAATTAATCCTTGCAATTTATGCACAATTTCAAATTAAATAGGTCATTACATTTTAAAAACCTTAAAAACTTCCAAAATGTTGACCGCTTTTGAAATTTAATACTAGCGTTAAAGAAACAACACTAAAAAATGGAGTTTTGAGAGGTAAATAGAGTTTTGGAAAGTGGAGTGTTTGGATAAAAATTTTTCAAAATGATGATTTTGGTCCCTATAATTGATTTTGGGAAGTATCTAAGCAGGCCCTAATCTATGAAGACATTTGACTTCCAATTGCAAGATACAAAATCAAAAAGAAGTTTTATGAATGTTAAATTTATAACCAATTAACTAATTATTCAAATAAAACTAATTTTCTTTTTAAAAAAGTAAGCGTAATAAAAAAAATTGCCTATCATTGTCTATTATGCATCGGTCCTTAATATTTTTACAAATCAAAATGAGACTGACATGCACTTCAGTTACTGGAATTGAAGTTAAACACATGACATACACAAAGCATTCCACAAAAAGAATCCGTAAGATCCAATGAGGTCAATATTATAATATGTCCACAAACAAAAATGGAAAAAGAGGAAGTTTCTTTTGTGGCGTAATATCAAGTTTATGGAGTATGAGGCTATATGTTTTTGATAATATGGGTATAGGAAATGTGAGAAAGAAGGCGAAGAAGTGTTCAGCAACTTCACGGCAACACTCGAACTACACCATGTCTTACTCAGTATCATCCAACCCAATCCAATCATAATAAATAAAGACACCAGTCCTAGAAAACATTTACAGTCACAGAAAGATCACGGAACATTCTTTTGCACATGATACATACAATCCAATCTAATCAACCATAACAAACATCACAATTGAATTTCAATTGAGTATAATTAATTAATATAATTGATTTTTATTATAACTGATTATGTTATAACACAATTGCTTGGATAATATTTTTTTAAAATTAATTTTAATATAATTGAAGATGTTTGAATAATTAAGTTCAAATCAATTTTAACTGTGCAAATTAGCATAAAGAATATTGATTTTCAAAATTAAATTATTGATAAATTTGTATATAATATTATTAAATTTGTTAAATTTTATTTAAGAAGTAAAATATATTATTTAAATTATATATCTGATTAATTATAAAAGTTTAAATTATATTGACATTGTAACAGTAGAATTATATCAAAAATCGATTTTTTAATCCTGGAAGCTGCCTTTGGGAGATTATATCAAAAATCAATTTTTTGGCTAATAATTGATTACTTAAAAATATTGTTGTTTGGATAACTTTCACTAAAAAATCAATTTTGGCCAAGTCTTGTCCAACAGGCAGAAAGTAAGAAACTAGTTCAAATTACCATCATGTACACTGTCTTAATGATAAATTGACTGGCAGTTTGATCAAAGGTTATCAGTTATCACATAGAAAATATAACTTAGAAGAAAAGGTTATTGATGAAAGCACGAAGTTTCAGTTTCTTATTGCTGAGAAAGAATCAAATCGTTTGTAGAGAGAACATATATATTCTTGAAAAGTTGAACTCTCTCATTTGGCTAAGCTCACCTCCTCACATAAAATTGGTCTGTTTGCTCAAAAAAAAAAAAAAAAAGAAGCTAAGCTTAACTCCTCCCAACAATTAAATTGATGAGAAGTTAGTTAAATTAAATAATTTAGGCAATGAGAAACTCAAACAAGCATTACACCAGAAACAGTATTCAGTCGTTACAAACAACAAATTAAAACATTATATTAACATTGAATTGAAATGTTAGATGGGAGAGATTATAAGTTCACGATATAATCGTTGTTGAGAGAGTATACAAAAAAGTAAGGAAGAAATATGGATTGTTGGCCTGATATAGATAGATCTTACAATTAACGGATTTAATCAGTTAACCAGAGCATATAAGATAACTTACCGGGGGAGATGCGATCTCACTACGATAGACTGGGCATCGATGAGAGAATGGGATCTTTTTGCGATAGTAGTTGGAAATGCAAGGATAGTGAAAAATATGGTTGCAGTTATTCAGTTTCTCTTCAACCTCCCCTGGTTTGATGTTCCCCTGACGAACAACACACAACACCTTGTTTGAAACCACCGTCTTAGGCATTTTTCAAGACGAAGTAAAGGTATTCTGGCATATCTAGGATCCAGGACATTGAGAACTTCTAAGGAGGCTTTCTAAATAGGCAGAAATAGTGGAAGAGATGTCCAAAGTTCAGTTTGTGACGAACCCTCCCTGTTCTCACCTTATGATTGCAGGAGTAGCATCTTGCCCTATCGGACATGACAATGGCAGGAACAATTTGTCGAAACAGCTCTGCGGTGAGTTTCGGTACCTCGATGAATCCTCCATCGTTGTCGGCATTTTCTTCAGTACTGAAGTCTTCGGAAGAAGACTTTGTGTTACGCAGGAGGAAGGAAGGGAAGGAAGCGGGAGGAAGAAGAAGGACGGTGAGAGGAGGGAAAATATGAGGAATGAAGTTGGAACTTGATTTTCCAAACAGAAATCAGTTACGAAGGATGTGTTTGGATTTTAATTGATAAAAATTAATTGTAAAAAAAAGTGATTGACAAATATTTGGATGATGTTTTGATAATGGAACATATTTGGATAATATTTTAGAATAAATTTAAAATGGTATAAGACAAAAAATGTTCAAATTTTAAGAATTATTTTTTTAAATAAATAAAATGGCCTCTCGACAAATCAAATAAAGTTTTTGTAGAATTAAAAATTAGTAAATTACTCGTGCAATGCACCGGTCTTATATTATAGTTTTTGTGAATAATTGTTAATCTTGTAGGGAGAAGTATTTTAAAAGAATAACTTGTAACAAACATTTTCAATCTTCATATCATCTTATATGCAGTGGGATTATATAATTATTGCCATGAATATTAAATATGCATATTAAAGTAAAACAAATGATAAAAAAATTAAATGCATACTGTGTAAATAGATACAATGAAAAGCAAATTAATAAAAATTTATAATTATTTAAATGAAATTGCCAAAGATTTCTTTATAAGTAACATTAGAAGTTCTATCTGTGGAGCGACTATTCCCATCAAGAATCAATATTTTTAAATCCTTAATTCTTGCTTGAAACATGAGAAACAATAGCATATAATTGATTGTGGGGTGAAAACAGAATGAGGCAAGCACAAACCAAAATAACATGTGCTCTAGCCTTGGCTCTTATTAATGATCATGGCAAAATCCAACATAATGAGAAACTATCCCTTTATTATAGTAAATAGTAAGTAACATGGAATTAGATGGACATATGCATATCAACATGGAATATATATAATTTCGCTTCTGTATTTAATCTATAGACATTTATTTTGGCCTTAATAACATATTTTTTTAATTATTGTAATCATGAGACATATACCATTATACAACCCCATAAATATATCAATATTTCACATTAAAATAATTAAAACACCCACTTTAAGCCTTAGTTCATAATTCAAGAGGGCCCAGCATTGAAATTTAATTTAAAAAATCTATAGAGTACATGTCAGCAAGTAAATATATGTCCCCATCATCTTTCATAACACACTCAAAGCTCAAGTACACAGCTTCCTC